TAGTGGAACAACATAAACCCATGTGAGTTTGTGTGTTAGATTCTACGGTAAAAAATTCTGTTGTGTGAGCTTGTGTGTTAGATTCAATGTTAAAAATTTCTGATCGGTAGGATCGAATCTCCTATTAAGCCCAACTTTCATGGCAGCAATCAAAACCGAAGTTTCAGGTTCCCACTCCAATGTTCAAGCTTTATGAGTTGGCTGTCTTTTTGTTCTAACTTAAAAAGTTGCCAATTGTTTTTATGAAAAAAACTAAAAAAGTGGTTGTTTTAAAATGATATTTATGTTAATATGAAATATATTATAATACAACTTATATGTAATATTGATTAGTGTAGTACATAATATAAACTTGACACCATGTATATAATTGCATATATTGTTCATGAGCTTATAAGCTCAAAAGGCAACGTGGAACATGGTTTGACACTTTCATTTGGGACCAATAGATCCCGAGTTCAAATCATACAACGAGTAAGTGGAGAAACACTATTGATCCCTTTTTTATTTAAAAAAAAGAAAAAAAAAAACTTAAAACACCGTTTCTTTGAAAAATGTGGGGTTTAACCTCGACTTGCTTATTAAAATAACTTCTTCAATTACAGTCTTAAAATGAACCGAGCTGGCAAGCGTCCATAATTGACGACTAGATTCAATGTCTTAGAAAAACGTAATCGAGTTAAATACTCCTTCGCAATACGACTAGATTCAATATGTCTGAAAAAAGCGTTATTGAATTAAATACTTATTTGCAATACATTTCCGTCCACTTTATTTCTTTAATGTTGAAAAGTTGTGATTTTTTTTCCTTTTTATTATGCTGTTCATGAGTTACCTATAAGCTCGGAAGACAACTTAAAAGTTAAAACACGGTCTTTTTAGAAAAATGTGGAGCTCAACTTGAAATAATTTTCTTCAATTATAGTCTTAAAATGAACCCAGCTGGCAAGTTTCCATAACAAACAACTAGTTTCAATATGTCTAAAAAAAACGTAACCGAGTTTAATACTCATTCACAATACGACTAAATTCAATATGTATAAAAAAAGTGTTACCGAATTAAATACTCCTTCGCAATACATTTCTGTCCACTTTATTTTCTTAATTTTGAAAATTCATGATTTTGTTTCCTTTATATTATTCTGTTCATGAGTTAATTATAAGTTCGGAAGGCAACTTAAAAGTTAAAATGCGGTTTCTTTGAAAAAATGTGGAGCTTTTATC